CTAGAAGGATGTGCAGCTATGACATACAACTATCTACTGGGGCTTTGGGGAAAAAAAGGAGGAGGATTGGCAATAGATGTTAGCTCAGAGCCGGTCTTCTTCAGCAAAAAGAGGAGGATTAGCACAGATGTTAGCTTAGGGCTGATCTTCCTCACACACACAAAAAAATATGGTGGAATGGTTGTCTCTGTTTTACAAATATTCTGCTCTAATATGTTAATGTGAAAAAATGATAGTCACCATGTGTTGAATGCTTGCTGTATGCTCAGAGCCTAATGCATGTTATCTTTAATCTTTACAGATAATCTTAGGCAGTTTGCAACTTCACCATTATCAAGTCAGATTAAGAAATTTGCCAAAGGTCACGTAACATGAAATTATCTGAGTTGGGTATTATAACTTCAGAGCTCTTCCTCTTTCTACTACACCAGGGCTTCTTAATCTAGGGTTTGTAAATTTACTTGAGAAAAGTATTACATCTCAAACTAAAATGTAACATTTTCTTCAATTCTGAGTGTAGGTAATAAGCCACAGGAGAATTAGCAGTAGCTGTGACTCTGTCACCAGTAGAAGTCATAGATATTCTCATGTCATATTACTCTTGTTGCAGATATTATTAAATATATTTAACTCCCATCACTACTTAGAAATGTCAGCAGTTACTAGATCCACTACTAGACCTTGTTATTTAATGTATTAATAAAGAATATATATATTACTGTATCACAAATTTGGTTTTAAAATTTTTGCTAGCTGTGCTTTAATATAATTAATTTCCTTGGGAATCCTGTTTATTTTGTTTTATGTGTCTGAAGACTTTTTTCCAAGAAAGAGTCCAGACTGCCAAATGATCCGTAGCACTAAAAAGGATAAGACTCGTTGAAGCTATACCATGAAGTTTCATTGTATAATTACAAATTTTGAATTAACTCTTAAGATGCATCATTATTCTACTGTTTAAAATTTTGAATTCTATTTAAAAATTCTTGCATATTCAGGAAAACAGTTGATAGAAAAATGGTGCCAAACAGAATTGCAGTATGTTTCCTGCTGATTTATTTTAAACTGCTGTCAATAATTCCAAAAGTCCTAAAAAGATTAAATAAGTAATTACTCTTCATGGGACCCCCGTATACATCATACACTGCATAACAACGTTTCGGTCAATGACAGACTGCATATACAACGGTGGACCCATAAGATTAGTACCGTAGAGCCTAGGTGTGTAGTAGGCTATACCATCTAGGTTTGTGTAAGTACACTGGATGATGTTTGCACAATGACGAAATCACCTGATGACACATTTCTCAGGACGAATCTTTGTCGGTAAGCAACGCATGACTATAGTAGCAATAATCTGAATTTATGACAGTATCAACTCTCAGGCCTTACCAACCTATGAGCTCCAGCCTCTGAATTGGTGATTATTTTTGTTGATGGGAATGAGTTGAGCAGATCAGTAAAGAGATGACATAGGTGACAGCACTTTAAAAGTTGTAAACTACTAAAAATGTTCCTCATTATAAATAATTTGAATAGGATTTGTAGCAAATACAGGTAAAAGAAAAAAGATCTTTCATAGAGAATTTAGAGGCCAGTGATTTATTTTTAAGGCACATGTCCTAAAAATAATCTGTCTTGTAGCTGAGTTTGCTATTTGATGTCATGATTATAAAATGTTGCTTGCCTTTTTCCATTCATCTTATTCCTTTGTTTGCCGAAAGCACAGATTGTATAAAATCTCGCCCATTTATTTTCACAGTCTCTGCTCTCTGACACATATAAATGAAACCTAGCTCTGAAATAATATGGCTGCAGAAACACAGCATATTTACTCTTTTAAAGGAACAGTCATATATCAGATTTCTTCTAGTCAAGATAAATAAAAGTATGGCTATTTATCTGTCTTTTTTCCTTTTAATTATTGGATGACAGAAGGAATGAAATCCTCAGAAAATGCCAAACTGCTTTGCTTTGCAAATGTTGAAAATAGTTGAATTTGCTTGCCAACATAATTTGTTGTGAAACATACACAATTACATAATGGTTCCTCTGTTTTTTAACAAAGAAAAAGGCTTTCTTAAAATATTATACAATTCTGGAAAGAAAATGATGCTAAAACTTTAACTTAGCAGAGAGGAGAAAGAAGCAACCCAAGGCCAATAATATGGAAATACTCATGTTAAAACTGTTCATATTTTCTTCTTCTTCTTTTAGGTTTGCTGAATTTTTATTTACTGAGGAATTCAAGGCTGGTTCTCGGGTCCTTGAAAGTATATACAGCTTGTATGAAGGCTTCTCCGGGACGGTGTGCTTTCTGATCGATCTGCTGCAACCCAGTCAGGCAGAGTTCCCTCTCTTCAGTGTCTTTGTTTAGAAGGCTTCATCTCCCACTGTGGCCCTGCAGAAGGTCCCTGAGATTTCCTGAGCCTACCCGAGGCAGTTTCCACATAAGCCACATTCAATGGTATCACTACCATGAGCCTTAACATTGCCTCCAGAAGGAAGGAAGGAAGGAAGGGAGCAGGCAGGTGAAGGTAACATGATACCAGACTTAAGGGAGAACAGTCTGAGAATCTCAAAATAAAGACACGACAACCCTTCTAAAAACCATAGATATTTAATATTTCATGGAATAAATGTGAAACCAGAGATGAGAGGAAAAAGGGAAAGAGAAATGATGTTTTTCAGTTATGGCATAGAAAACAAAACTGAAATGTGGACTATGGCAATAAAAGGCCAATACCTTTGCAATTGGAAAGAGAATTTGACCATTTGTGGGTACCCTCTACCCCTAAATTCAGAAATAAAAAAAATCAAAAACTAAAGTAATTGCCCAGCTGAAAACTGCTAGGAAGGATGAAGTGTCAGGTTGCTAAAGGACTAAAAGGAAACTCTTGGTTGTCCTATGCCTTTACTTATTGAAATTCATGATTTTTACTAAATGGAGAAATTTGCATATGAATCTCTGTTTTTTATCATTACCCTGGGCACTTTAAAGAAATCATATCATAACTTAGTTTAAACCTTGAAATTTGAAGTTTCCTTGGGCCTTAGAGCATCTCCTTTTATTGATTCCTTTTTCTTTCCTAAAACTCAATTAGAATAGTAAAATTTATAGGCGAGGAAATACTGTAGCAAATGTTGCTGTCAAGTGTTTTTCTCAATTTGAAGCGTGAGCTGTGTATAGTCTATTGTTAGTAATTTTTAAAATGCCTGTGTAATCCATATGAAGCTATTAGCTGAACTGTAAAATATACTCATGGTAAAAATCACTCATCTCAAAGATCAGGGTAACCACTACAAAGGTGTGACATTTCTGCCTTTGATGGAATACTGTGTTACCTCGGACAGGCAGACACTGGCTGAGAAAGGGGCTAGTGATTGTGAGAAGAACATTGCTCAATTTTATACTATTAGATTAAAAGATGAGTGAATTCCCTGGCTGATCACCTTACCTTCCAAGACACAGGCTCCACTAGAAATTGTCTACAATACCCACTGAGCCAAGTTGTCATATTAAATTCAACCCTGCTGTAAACACATAGAAGTTGTAAAACTACTTCAAGTAAATAGTGGTTTGCAGAACACTATAGGAGCATCTGTTACTTCAATATTCAGACCACGAGTTTACCCTTTTCCTAGAATTTGGTCACTGGCAATTTCATATATCAGAGTGAGGAGGAAATGAATACTGTATAAAATTTAACAACTATTTATATAGTCATTAAATATTTGGATGTATGTGATACATGTAAAATACGTATGTATATTCCACATCTGTCCCCATGTGAACCCAGGCACTTATTTAGTTCAGTAGTTCCTAACTTCTTGATTCGTAGAAGAATTTGGAGAGGAGTTGGGGAATACTCTATTGCCTAAAAATATTTGTGTGTGTTGGCATGTATGTGCGTGTGCCCATGTGCTTGTGTGTGTGCGTGTGTGTGCTCATTTTTCTGGGAAAAGGATCTCTAGCATTCATAAGATTTTCAAAGAATCTATGGCTGAAGGAAGGTCAGAACTACCTTTGTATATTTAATGACTCTGTTTATGTTTGCAGTCATCAGAACAAACGAGGACAAAATGGTTTTGAAAAGCATGCACCTTTTTAGCTTATTGTTTCTTTTTCACATCCTCGGATATAAATATATAAAATTGGCTTCAATTGTTCATCTTTGAAAATACTCTGGTTGGAGCAATACCACATAAATAGCAGCTTTCCCATGACTCCCAAAGTTGGGTTCTAGAAGTTCTTTCATGAATAGTCAAGGACCTCTCATAAAGCCTTAAGGCAAAATGCCTTCTACAAAGTAGTCTCCTTTTGAAGTGATAGTGGTACCTGCTTTTCACCATCTGGTTTTAAATTCTTTTCATTTGACCCCTGTAGGCTGGCAGTAATAAGCATCCAGTATACAGGGCTTTATGGAACACATGCTTTTTTCCTTGTCCAGCAACACTTCGAGGTGATTTAGGTAATTGATCCAAAGTCTCATAGCTAGGAAGGGGCAGAATGAGGATTCAAACCCAGGGTTTCCCTTCACAAGTGTGTTCATTCAGTATTCTAGACTAGCATCTGGGAATACAGCAGTGAACAAAATACCCCTGGAAGTTACCTTCTGTTTTCTGTTTGCTGATCCTTCCACCATTCATCCTTGACACCTAAAACCTAAAGCACTAAGAAGGGATAATCTAGCTCAACACATCAGTTTCATTTCTAGAAACTTCAGAAAAACTGGAGTCATTCCTGCTGACCCGCCCTTTTAAGGTCCGGTAGGGTAACTATGACTATGATGTTGTTGTGCTAACACTTACGGAAAGGCAACCCTTTTGTGTGTCAAATCCAAGCAAAGGCCATGTTTGGGCGTGTCTTTATGAATTGACACCTTGGTAAATTAGAAACAAGGGTAAGCTTGTTTAGCACTTAAACATGTTGAAAGTTTTCATTTTCCTGAAAGAGTAGAATTATAGGTTTGGGAAGGTCCTCTTCTATCTTGTTTTCCCAAGAAGGGGGAAAAAGACCCTTAAGTGTTGCTGTAGAAAAGTGTGGCACGTCACTTCTTATTTAATTAACTAACTTCTTGCCTTCTATGTAGTAACGTTCTTTTTTGAATAGTGCTTAAGCATGTTGCCTCTTGAAGGCTATGGGAGCATTTTTTACCACCACTAGTATAACTTTAATATTATTTACTATATGTGGCATGAACAATTATAAACCCTGAAGGTAACAGTGGAAATATTTGAGGATAGATTGAAAGACTCTCTCAACAATGAGGAGACTGCATTATACTTTGAGAACAGGAAGTTTTGGAAAATATTACAACTCTGTGTATTTTGTTTTATTAACACAATTACATACCTTCTCTTCCACACATTGCCCAAAATATTATATATATATCTTTATTTTGCACAATCCCATTTCAGTCGTCAGTTTTTACTTTTTTGTTCCATTTGTAACCTGAAAACTGAGAACGGAGATTTGACAGCATATATTCCCCTGTGATTCCTCAGGTAACTCACTACACTGTTAAGATAATACTTTTTACTTTCTGATAATTCAAGGAGCAGTCATTTTCTTGGTCTGTGCTAAACTGGAACTCTTCCGTGGTAATTTATATCTTTTTTTTTTTTTTTTTTTTGTGAGGAGGGTCAGCCCTGAGCTAACATCCATGCCAATCCTCCTCTTTTTGCTGAGGAAGACCGGTCCTGAGCTAATATCTATTGCCAAGCCTCCTCCTTTTTTTCCTTTTTCTCCCCAAAGCCACAGTAGATAGTTGTATGTCATAGTTGCACATCCTTCTAGTTGCTGTATGTGGGACGCCGCCTCAGCATGGCCCGACAAGCGGTGCGTTGGTGCATGCCCGGGATGCGAACCCGGGCCACCAGTAGTGGAGCACGTACACTTAACCGCTAGGCCACAGGGCCAGCCCCAGTAATTTATATCTTTAACTTTCTTTGACACACTCAAATTTTAAGCAAGGTAGTACTCAAATTATTTCAATTTCTGTAGAGAACAAATCTCAATAATTTCAATGCAACAAATGTAAGTTTGTGATTTATAACCGTGTTAAGGAAATACATCATTAAAAGGAAAGGCCTATGTAATGCAAAGAGCCCTATGTTGGAAATCTTGAAGCCTTGCTCTGCCACTTCCATGGGCCACTATAATCATCATCATCATCATCATCATCATCATCATCATCATCATCATCACTCTCTCTACCTCACAGGTTGTCAAAGATAAAATGGATATAAGAGAGATTTGTAATATGCAGGTCCTTTAGATATTTAAAAGGAAACTGTATTTTAAGTACCTACTACATACATAGAAAATCATGCTCAATGATGACTTCAAATAAGCATTTCAGCCAAATGTAATCTCCATATGTGGATGCAGTGCTTGGGGGTCTGGATCACTTGCTGGGTAAAAGCGAAGTGTATGTTTTTTATATTCTAGAACCAATCCTGACTATAGCATTTGTGCCTCAGAAGTGTCTGATTCACCGTGGCTTAGTACATAGGAATAGGCTAGTTTAGCTTGGGAGCGCCTTTTAATGCAAATATTTATTTTGCTTGCTGGAAACAAAGGATTCAAGTGCCAGTAACTGAGAAAAGGAGCTGACAGGCTAGGTGTGTAGAGCAAAAATGAACTGGGAAATAAAGTAGTTTTGGTTGAATTTGCTCTGTACTTTAATTCAGGCCTCAGAACTGTGTGACATATAGCAGTAGAAATATACTCTCAATTGCATATAAGGCCTTCCTTTGGGAACCTGGGTTATTTATTCAACACTGTCCCAAATTAATGGCTAAATGACTAAGCCTCAGATTCACCAAGGCCATGAGATCTTTGCATAAACTTGGCAAGGAAAGCCAATGAAAAGGCAAAGGGGTGGGTGGGGGGAAGCTTGCTGCAGCTCAGCATCTCAGTGTGAGCTGTGGATGCACATTTAATGCTGCTAAGAAGCCATCATCTTACTCCTGGGTTTTATTGCTTCCTAGGACCACTAATTCTACCTCCCTCCCCCCAACTCAGCAACTTCTTGCCTGCCTTCTCCTCTTGAAATAGTACATTCTAATATGTTTTTTTTTCTATGCTTAATCATGTGACCCTCCTTTCACCTGGGAGGGCAGGTTTTCTCCTTATCTCTTCCATCCATGTCAGTTTGTAGCTAAGAGCTCCAGGCTTAGGAAGGCTGATTCCCCTCTGGACAGAAGGGCTGACCTCAAGGTCAGCAGCAGCAGGAGTCAGGCCCACTCTGCAGTCAGAGTGTGGCTGTGCGTGAGAATAGAATGGCAGCTGCATTTATCCTGCTTCTCCTCCATAAAGAAACCTGGTCACTTTATTTGTACTGTTGTGGGGAAAAAAAAAAAAAAACAAAGTTGATGCTACATTAAATATCTGGGCCTCCTGCATTATCATAAATCTCATACTGGAGGTGTCCTCTCTCTCCTTGTTTCTTTAATTGAAAGTGCTAATGAATTGAGGCCTGATGGATGATGACTTTAGGGTTTAAAAAAATACCTGTTTTTATTTTCTTAAAGTATTGAACCGTGTCATTTTCACCTAGACCTTTCCACAAATGGCAGTCCCCTATCTGCAGAATTTCCT